CCCCCAGGAACATGTGAAAATGGCAAGGACATCATGAACTTCTAAAATAAAACCCAGTTCCATTTGCTTTTACCCATGGAAGTGGGAAGTGTTGTGGTACAGTGGAACAGTTTGACTCCAGTGAACTCCAAGCGCAAAACTTTGGGGGTTGGGGGAGGGAATATACTATCCCTGCTGTGAATCAGATCCATGCTGCAGTGAGCGAGGCTGTGCTAGAGAATTCCAGATTCACTGGGCTCTGCAAGATATGTTTTTGGATCTTGGGGTACTTCAGGTGTGGACAAAGAGGCAACCTTCATGCTCCTGTGACTATAAAGTCGCCAAGCCTTACAAATATCTTTTTGTCTTCCTGTGGGCTTCACCATAAGGTGATTTGATCTGGCACATTTCGTGGGTTTGTGCTACCATCCTGTGGGTCCCTGTGTGGAGTTTAAGCTAGTTGTGACCTATGACATTCTACACGGCTTGGGAAATGTTAAAAAATAATCCAAAGATGCCATTTTATTAGTCCTATACATCTCTTTTTTTCAGATTCATAAAACAAAATCTAGCTTTGGCGGTGCATCCAGTGCTTCACTGGAAGTTATTTCCACACCTGAGTTAACGTTTGTCAGAGCTAATGTCTCTAGCTAGAGTCTGCCACTCTGTTAAATAGGAGCTACATTACCAGGAACAGCTAACAGACAGTAGGATTGTTGATGCAAGGATGGCTTGATTAGCGGAACATCAAGTCCATTAAAGAGGAGAGAAGGCTGTTAATACCTGTGGAATGATGTTTTAGAAGGAATCAGGTAGATTATAATGAGCCATGAAGTCAATTGACTCCCCCAGCACTGCCTGACTAGAAATGCTGCAGCCACTACCAGCCAGGCAGTTTTAAACTTTGATTGGGCCAGGAATCAAAAGGGGATGCAACTACATCATGTTTGGATATGTTTGGATCTGCCCCTGGAGATGCCTACCTGACTGGCCATCTATTTTGCTGTGCTGCATATAAAACCAGTAGAGAGTTCAAGATAGAGTGAAAGAGCTTGTTGCTGTGTTACTTCTTAGGATGGTTGCCAGACTTAAGAATTTCATGCTCTACTTGGTTCAAAATAGCCCAGACTATTTTTTTTGTTTTTCTGTTTTGTGTTTGCTTTTTTCTTCAGGATATGCTATAAACTTTCCTTTTCCCCTCTGGCTTTTAGAGGTAAAGGGAGGGGTGTGTGTGAGGGTTGGCATCTAAGAAAGGCAAGGCATGTTTTCCACTTAACAGTGCTTGGTTTATTTATTCTTGTTTTGTAGGAAGGATTAAAAGTTAGACTTGTCAGTGCTTTTTTCTTGCATTTTTAAATCAGTATAAAAGGCACACAAAAGCCCGGGAAATTCAATTGTGGACACCCTTTGCAAGCTAGAAGTGATAAAGTGAAATGAGTTTTGATCAGAATAACAGTATGACCTGATTAGATCCAGTTAATTTCCATGACTTCAGTTTATATAATTCACATTGGGTTAGACCACAGCTTGTTTCTCTTCTCTTGCATTCATATTTTATCTGCTTTTTTCTTTATCTGCAATTTATACTTTAGTGTTTAGGCTGTTTAGTAAAATGACTGTCTGTTGAACACATTAGTGTAATTGGTAATGAAGCACAACACAAAGTAATGCAGTTCCTTAAAAGAAATCAGGTACAAATGCTGTATATATTGCTTTTCTACTCACCTAATTTGGAGTAGGTGGATAGTGGGAGCTGGTAAAAAATGTGGAATGAAAGAAGTTCTCAATGATTTCATCAATCATTTTCTCCTTTTTTAAATTGAAATTCAAAATGATAATAACAAATGCCCTAAAAAACTCAACCAAAAACTAACTTTTGTTTTGATTGATCTCTCCTGTTCCTGCCATTCCCACTCCAGGACTCTCATTCCGATTTTTTTGATCAGCTTCAATTATTTCCTTAACCCTACTCCCAATTTCCATAACCCTACTCGCAATATTTTCACTCCAAGCTGGTGAACCCTCCTCTGTCTCTACTCCAGAAAACAATCCTTACTCCTTTGGTGTCTTGTACACATGTACCTATTCCCCAAAGCATCCTGCCCCAGCCTCCTAGGGCACATCCCCATAAG